AGAAACATCTGATTTTTATTTGATGTATTTTATGTATACTTTAATCGCAAACTTTACTACCAATTTATCCAATAATGATGCAGCAATAAAATCCACATCTATTTTATCTATCTATGTCACATAATAACAAAATTAACTACCCGAGCATATATCCATTAAAAATCATACAATAACGATAAAAACATGAAAACATTTGTGGCATGGTTGGCTACAGGCCAATTGGAGTTTCTGTATTCGAAATACGATCTGTTTTGGTGCATTTGCCAAAAATCATGTCGTGCGTGTGTTTTCAATGTTCAGTTTTCTTTTATCGGCCAAGTTTTTTATCACGTTTACACTGCAGTCATCGTAGAAGTAAGATTAAAATGTATAAATAACAACTGAAATCAATGACTAATCCACTAGTTTATCTATGGATTGTGACCCAATTTGGTTGAGTTTTCTTGAAGGAAAGATCTAAATGATATTCTCCAAATCAATTAAGGGACTATAAGTTAGGGGACTAGAGACTAATTGTATGAGCCTATTTGACTGACTTGGTCCTTTATCTACCCATTCGTAGTAAAGTTAACTTTTCCAAAAGGAGATAACCGAGTTGAACATAATCTTTTGTCAACTGATGAAAACTTCGTATTTTGGCGTTTTAAGGGCTCCTGGAAATTGCAGGGGTTAAAATATCTCAGTTTTCCGATGTTAGCTTAGTATATTTATACGTTTCCAACCCCGGTAATTCTGCGAACCTATAAATTATATTTCTCACATCATAGATTTCTACGTACATTTGCTCTTAAACCTTAGAATAACAGAGAAATTTTTCTGATACGTGTATCTGCTTCTGCTCTCTAGGTTCACCGGTGAGCGTCCCGACCTCGGTACGGGTCCTGCCATTACTGCGGCGGAGCCGCGCTGCTGAGTCTGACGCGTCGTGCGGTCGGGTATGAGAGAGGGGCGAGGTTGCCAGATGGACGGTACACATGTTCGTAACTAACTTTCTTCTCAGAAAGTATAATCTGTGCTGAACCAAACCAATCTACTTGACGCCAATTTTTTTCATGAAAATTACCATGGTGGATCGGTAAATGCTCACGGGGAAAGAGTTTTTTTTTTGTGGCACAGATTGGATAACATGCATCCAGGGGCGGATTCTGAGAAAAAGTTTTAGAGGGGGAACTTCTGGGAGCGAGGGGTGTCGACGGTTAAAAATTGAAGAGGGGTTGGCGGTATAATAAGGGGGTATGAAAAAGACCCTTTTGACGATGGCCTATTCATAGTTTGGGAGTTTCTCTTCTGTACCTTAAAGATATTGAAACATGCAAAATTAAAACATGGGTTATGTTAATAAGTCAATATTTAAATTTAATGTTCAATAGGAAGCAATAAAACTATGATTAACATGACTATTTTGCTTAATTTATACACCAACCTTATTTCCTACTAAAACAACATAAATTCAGAACGGTTTTTTGGGCTTTCTTCATTATTATTAACATACTGTGAAGGGTATTCGAAATTTCAACCGTTTAAAACTCCAGAACTATATTAAGTCGAAAAATCTACTTTAAAACTGGTTTATTCTTTAACGAGACACAGTTTGTATTATCTCCTGAAAATTCAATTTATGAGCCTGCCATCATACTACAGTCTGATAGTATAAACAAGCATGATGTTCCCAAAATTGCGGATTTTATTTAAAGACTATTTCATAAACTATTGATCTGATTTAAAATTCATTATAGCCTATAGCTAGATTTTTCAAAACCTATTTTTCCTGGCACACAGAGACATTCGATCTAAGAAAAATACGAATGCGCGATTTATCATTTTAAAAATAAAAAATAGGTCGTCGTTGATTTAGTGATGCTAGTCAAGCAGCTCTATCAGATTAGAAAGAGAGAAATGTTAATTATATAAATGTGTGTTATTTTGGGAACGTTTCGTTTTATAGGAGGAAACGCTCGCTGTTTTTCGATAACCGCCCACATTTCAGACTCTGTCAGACTTTCCGTCGGTTTCTACTCCCATTCATCTGCTTTAATTGAGAAATATGTATGTATGTGTGTAAAATAGCTCACACGTTGCCGGAAGCTGCTATACATGTTGGTGAAGGACATGGATGATATAAGTATATAGGATAAGGTGGATAAAAGCGGACCCCTATTTTGTTATTGGTTTAACAAGGTGGCTATAAGTATATTTTAAAAGCGTACGCTTTTAAAAAATACAACTTTTATATTAATCACCCTGTATAAACGTTGAAGGTCAAGTGAAACTATTTTTAAAATGTAGGCTTTAGGGGACGGCCCACCATAATACAGTGATGGAATTTGAACATACATATGTGTTAATAAACCCACAATCCTTCATCTACGCACTATTCTCACACCCTGTATACAAGGTGTTTCAGAAGAACGTGGCAATGTGTCTAGGGCATAAAACAGGGCGTTGAAATCATAATATCAAAGTCGAAAAAAATGTCTTTGGGGTGGATTTAGACTTATTTTGTATATGTATACAGTAAGTACTGACATCACAACCCTTACATACAAAAATATTCGTGTCTGTGACTGTACCAGTGGCATAGACATTGTAAAAATGTGATAGAAGAAAACCGAAGACTACCTTCTGCGCCACTGATTTTCTTGAAACACCTCTTGCATTTTTAAATAAGGAATTCAATTTTACATGAAACGCTTGCTTGCAAAATTTTTGTCAGACTTATTCTGGAGAAAAATTGGTTTGAATATTTTAGGTATTTGTAAAAGAAATTTCAACCCGCAGGGTTATTACGTATGAAACATATACCTGTATATTAAAAAAAAAAAACGGTAAAATGTCAACTTGTTGACTAAAAAGGCTAGTGTGCAAATAGGTCATTCCGCACTTGATACAAGTGAACATGAAGTCAACGACAGCTACTTCAAAGTTGACGTTGAAAAACCTACATGATGTAAAAAACCGACGTAATGTCACTTTTAAAGTTACGTAATACCCCTGCCGTTCTGCGTTAAAAATACGCTGAAGTTAGTGTGGAGTTTAACAATAAAAATTGTAAGCACTGTATTAGCAAAGTGATCCTACCTCATCATACCATTTTTTTAGCAATATTCATGTTTTGTCCTTATTTAGCCTTATCAGGCGTAGATATTTACAACACTTTCCCTTAGTAATGATAATGAAAGTTTCACCAGTGCCCAAATACTTTTTTCACTATCAACACACATAACCGTCTACGTACAAGTAACGTGTATGTAATGTACTATCGACAGATCTACACTGGGCCATAAAGAAGTTTCAGAAGCGCTGTCTGCAGCCATTGGCTTCAGCTCAAATGTTTCTTTAGAAGTGGAATTGAAAATAATTGAAGCATGCATCTACCTAGTACTAACATACGAACGTACTGCTGAGGTCTCACGTATAAGTAAAAGTGACAGTCTTAAATTAGAAAGGTGCCTTAAGAAGATATATAAAAGAGCTGGGCAGTACTCCCACTGCATCCCAGATGACATACTTTGAGATATGCATGGTACAAAAGGATAGTGTGGTAACACGCCTGGATCAGGCGCAGAAGAAATAACTTGAAAACACCCAGGAAGACAAATCAGTGAAGCCGATTTTGACCAAAGTAGATTATGATAATACTTTGTAAACAGGTTTTATCCTTCGTCCCCTATCCCCCTCCTCGTATTTCACCCCTTTCCTAAGAAGTACATATTTTGAATGCATGGACATCATATGTAACATAATCTACACTGGAACCAAATTTAACTGACGGCTTGAGTTCAATGTGTACGAGAGAGAAGTGTGTATAGGCAGTATAGGCACGTATAATAATAATAAAACGTCTTTATTGGGCGAAGTTTAGCATAAGCTATTCCACCACTTAACCCCCGTAGAATGTCCATCCAAAAAAATATATACCAACCACTAAAGTGCAGACTTTCAACATAAAAAACACATTAATTGAGTAAAACACAGGTAAATCAAGATTGGATAGAAGTATAACATTATAACATATTGATGCATATATCATAAGGAGAGGTAAGAGATAAATTTATGTAAATGATTGCTCGAAAATTATTTTTCTTAAATAATTTTTGAAATTTAAAGCCGCGTTGCCGGTATGTTACACCAATTGCTTGAATTAAGATGCATATTTGGAATATGCGTTAGTTTATTCTTTACGCCCAAATAATGGTTTTATTTTTAGCGTACAATTGTGAATTGTGTCGAGTCTGTTTAGGATTAGTTAAGTTCAGCATCGCCACAAATTCTGCAACGCTACATCATTGGTTCGTTTGACAACACTGCAATTGTACACTTCAAGGCAAGGTGTCCACATCCATGATCATAATTCATAATTGAGCGATTTTGGTCAGAACCCAACTAGCGCTCGTAGGGGTGTATGGTCCCCGTACACGCAGGCAGTGACAATTTGTATTGCGTAACGTTATTTGTTACATTTTCCGACTGCAGCATTGTCGCAAAATGTAACCATAACTCAGGATGTGTTGATTTTATCACTATCGGTGGAAATCAAAGATAATTCTAAAATAAATTGAAACATTAAGTCGCGCCAAACTTGAAATAAATAAATCTAATCAAAATGAAAACAAAATATTGAATTAACCGTTCTAACATTTTCTGGTGAAACATATTGGCAACGCGGCAGATTGCACCACTTTCTGCCTTACCGTCGCTAGGCAACGTTATAACATACACACTTATCGGGCTTCTCTACACATTAAACTCAAGCCGCCAGACAAATTTGGTTTTCCCTGTATATAAAATAAAGATTTAAAAGTAATTGAGTTTCACAAAATGTAGAATTAATTAGACCAAGGGTCCGTTTTAGACGAGGGGTGTGGTTTAGGGTACTTTACTTTTGGCAATATTGAGAAAAAAAATAGTTTGTGACCAATGTTTTTCTTATTCCAGCTGACCCCCGAAGACGAAGAACGCCGTCGCCGGCGACGCGAACGCAACAAAATCGCCGCGACGAAATGTCGCCTGAAGAAGCGCGAACGCACTGCGAACCTGGTGCACGAATCCGAAAGCTTGGAGGCGCAGAACATCGACCTGAAACAGCAGATGCAGCAATTGCAGAGCCAGAAACAGTCTTTGATAGATATTCTCAGCGTGCACAGGCCTTTGTGCAGGCATAACATCGGACCTGTCACCAGAGACCACCTGTACAGGTAGCGCAGGCGCGCACTTTTATGTACACCGATGTTTTCGTTTATGAGAAAAAGCCAGTCATGAAATTTAACATTTTATTGATTTCATACAGATTATGAGATCACGTCTTGCCGTGCCGATTTTCTGTTTTTAACTCCCTTTTTGTGTCTTTGATACTTTATCGATAATAATTTTTGTTCAGTCTTTTTTCTGGTCACTTTTTTAAGATATTTCCACACTTTGTTTTTCATCGGTTTTCTGAACATTCAATTTTTTTCAAATTCGAACAGTTGAAAGCTTCGCGAGGCTATTTATTGCATTATATGATAGTTATACATATACACAAAAAATAATTTAGAAATCTTCTTTGAAAAGAGTTAGTGTTTGGATTTGCTACTGTGTCATAGATGGCGCTAGTATGTTCAATCCCTGTTTGGCACCTCTCCTATTCTAGCGCCATTTTTGTCGTCTGCTACTATCTCATAGATGGCTCTACGATCTTTAGAACCCATTTTGGGGCCATAGTACAGTATATGGATGGCTGTCTGCGGGTATAATATGTTAATGAATAGTTAAACATATACCAGTAATGATACTTAAATAATTTTGTGTATCGATTGTTTTATGTTTGTATGTGGCACTTCAAGGTTTCAGATACACAAGGATATTTGAATAATTCGTCATAATAATATGATGTATAACCAATAAGTCTTTATAGTGAGCCGGTCGGACCTATTGACCTTGGGTTTAGTACGCGTTATAGTAAGGGAGCCGAACATAATTTTTTTGTTACACCATCGCGTATCAATATACAGGGTGGACCAACGAACAGGTCGCCCCCTATTTGTGACTCTCCTGGTATATTTTTGGAAAACGCTCGGACACGTCAATTTTGATTTTTAGGGGGACGTCTTTTCATCTATAGCAGTACAATACAGGGTGATCCAAAAATAAGATATCGCGTTACACTTTAGGTTTTTAAATGGAAACCTTTTTTTTCATGTTTAGATGTTCCGTGAAGTTTTTCTAGTAACATTTGTATAGTAAAGTTTATACCTTCAATCGTTGTGAAGCTATTTGAGTTTATGATGAAATTCGACTATAATAATGCAATTAAAAAAAATAATCATGCATACCAACATAAGAACATTTAGCATCAGTCAGTGTCATCGTATGTCATAGAAAAACTTTGTCTTTCATTTCAAATATTGAACAATGAGTTATTCAATTCAAGAAAGGGTAGAAATAACAAAACAGTAACAGTATGACCAAAATGGGAGTACTGCAAGACCATCAATGGTAACCCTCTTTTAGATTCTTCATGAAGTTTTTAGTAACTTTTGTATAATAAAGATTATACCTATCTTCAATCATTGTGAAGCTATTTGAAGTTTATAATAAAAATCGACGATCTTAATACTGAAAATAATGGAATGCACGGCAAAACATAATAATCATGGATACCAGCAAGAACATTTAGCATCAGTCAGTATCATCGTATCTCATAGAAGAACCTTGTCTTTCATTCCAAATTGTTGAATTACCTACCTAGTTGTGATAAATATGGAACAATGACTTATTCAATTCAAGAAAGAGTAGAAATAACAAAACTGTATAACTGTATGTAGCTAAGTTGATAAGAAAATTTGAAGAAACTGGATCTACACTGACAATATCTTGAAAAAGTTAGTGTGTGGGCCGGCACATTCAGAAATCTTGTAGTAGGACCTTTATTCCTGGAAACTTGACGAACAAGACGTGTTGGAAAATACAATAGAGTCATGAACTACCGAAATAATAGAAAATGACGCTAATTATAAGAAAATTACATTCGTTTTCGAAAAGATGGTGCTCCGCCTCACTATTTGGTTCCAGTACGACAGTTTTTGGAGACCCATTTCCCGAATCAGTGGATCGGCAGACGAGTCCCCATCGAGTGGTCGCCACGATCTCCGGACCTAAGTCGTTTAGACTACTTTTTTGAGGGCATTTTCCATTCAAGATTTTTGTCTGCGGATTACGGCTGAATGTAGACAAATAACTCAAGACCTGCTTGAAAATGTGAGGAATAGATTCGAACAAAATATTTATTATTGCAGGTTAATGGACACCACTTTCAGCACTTATTACCACATTGACCTACCTCTTCATAGCAAATTAATTTTTACTTTAACTTAAATGTGCGTGAGAACTAAGTTGTTTTTTGTTTTTCAATACTCGGAGACTTGTTTATAATTTTAAAGCTAAGTCTTGTTACTATGGGAACTATATTGATTATTATTTGTACGATATAAACCCTTATTATCACTTTTTCTAGAATTTTACTATAAACTCAAATAGCTTCACAACGATCGAAGATAGGTATAAACTTTATTATACAAAAGTTACTAAAAACTTCTTGGAAAATCAAAAAATTGAAAAAGAAAACGGAGGTTTCCATTTACTAAGGTGTAACGCAATATCTTATTTTTGGATCACCCTTGTACGGCTATAGATAAAAAGACGTGCCCCTAGAGATCACAATTGACGTGTCCGAGCATTTTTGCCAAAATGTACCAGCAGAGTCACAAATGGGGGTGCGACCTTTTCGTTGGGCCACCCTGTATGTTGAAAACTGGTCAAATATTACGTATTTTCATGCTAAGCAGCAAACTCGACAAGTTTGATTTTAGCATCAAAACACGTAAGATTTAACTAGTTTATATCATATCAATACGCGATTTAACCAAAACTTTGCGGTGGGCTCGTGGACCATTACTAGTTTACAAAAAAAAAACAGCGAATTATAAAAGGTCCACCATTGGTTTGGCGATTCGCTCATGGATGACTTGATATTCTGCCAATGATCCGCCCTGCATTTACCTAGGCGGTGTTGCCAAACTGACATAAAATGTTTAGAAAGCGCCTCTATTATACAGGTTTTGAGAATAAGTTCTGTTTAAACATGACCCGAACGACACTTGCGAAAAGTGTGATTCATAACTTTATTGAATGAAAAATGTATGTGGTAGCCTGAAAACAGTTGATAAATATCTTCGCTATGAATAAGTGTCCAAACAACAGAAACATTTGAACAAAGAACGCTTTCACTACGAGTCATGGACAATGAATTCATCCAAAAAGCATTATCTATCTGGCATCACCGTATTTATTTCTGACGAAATAAGAACAGCACGTGATTATATGCCATCAGCTGTTTTGCGTCTGTGCTTTGGTTACATTTCTTATATCTCTCTAACTTATTCGCCTTGTCTAACTGTTTTCTCGTGGTATAACTACTCTTTGGTATAATAATGCAGCTTTGCCGTCTAAAATGCCGGGCCCTCTTCTCCACGACTATGGAAATGGGAGACTTGGTAGACGTATATAATTTTAATACAAATATGACTGCCATAAGATCATAAAATATCATGGGGAGGTATTTGGGATGAAAGGGGCATTTTAAAATTTTCACTGCAATTGTTTTATTTCATGACTGGACAGGTTGCATAAATATTCGCACTTGACTTTAGTTTAATTAGAGTAAGTCTAAATCTAAGAAATTTCATCTCAATTTCAAAACATACTTGAGCTGAACAAAATCGATGTCGTTGCAGACGTTTTTTAATCTAGTCTGAAAATGCACAAATTAACAGAAGATCTCACATAATCAAGTTTAGTTCATCAAGCAGAAAGATTATAGTGATCAATATTAAATGTGTATCCAAAAAGTTACTAATTACATATTTGTTCATCAAATTCATCGATGGTCTCTGTCTTTTCAGGCTACCTCCAGTAACATCTGTTATGGAGACTCATAACTATAGCCGACCGTCATCTGTGGAACCTCCTTTCAAGCACCAGTATGGCCCTGATTCCTTTCCTAGCTGCAGGCCCTCCAGTGTTGATGTCAGCTTTTCGCGAAATGGATACGGTAAGGCAAATTTTACATTACTTTTGTATTAAAAACAAGTCTTTAATCAAAAATCAAAAATATGAAAAAGTTCATATAAAAGGCTCAATCTAAAAAATGTGCCGTTTCAAAGATACAGAATGCTTTAACTTTATACAGGCTGAATGTTGAGTGAGTGGTTGCTTTTCGTCTCTGTGCATGATTTTGTGTACAATTTTAGAGTTTTTTGGATTTAACCTTCCCCTCTTACACCGTTAGGAAATTTATTTAGATGACTTTCCTGCTTTCTAAATTTTTTGGGACAGGTACCCTTTCACACAAAGTTATCTATTCCCGATAATCGGCCCTCTAAGAAAAATTCCTGCAGGTGCTTATGTACCTATAGGTCCAATCAGTTGCCTTCTTAAAAGCGAACTCTGTCATTTACTGGTACCGGCAAACTGTGTTTTTTTGGATTGCGTTAAGGATCTAATTTGAAAGAGCCTATATCATCTGCTTGTAGCATCTAAGAGAAACTTTTTTGTTATGTGTAAATATTGTTTTTTACTTTTAGGCAAAGCGAACACTCAACCTCCGAGCATAATAATCGAAGAGGTTAGCGATGAGTACGAGTTCACAAACCTCGATGACTACGGTTATGCGTCACCATGTCACAACTACCAAAGCTACGGGGGTTCAGGCATGGACAATGGCTGCATGGCGTAGTCATAAAGTGCTTTTTTCTATTTTTTATCATTTTACTATTTATTTTTATTTGTACTCTTGTATACGTAGGGTAAGGCGGATGATGCACAAGGACAAACTCAACATTTTAACTAAAAAAATACCGATACACTAGGGGAAGATTAGTATGTTTGAATGTACACAGGTCAAAAAATTTTTTTAAATAACTGGTTTCCTACCCCTATATTTCAACAAATACTGCTCAAACAAAAGAAAAACGGTCAAGGCAGGCGTTGCAGGGTTTGGAGAGAACAATGTAATGGCGATATTGATAATGACCTTGAAAATGGAAATGTCATTTTTAAGTCAGCTTGAAAGTTTTAAATGGAACCGTATCTGTTTGACCCCATCAATGAAAAGAGTAAACAATTT